ATTTAGCCTCGAATTCAAAGGATTTTGAACCCTAGTTAAGTTGCGAGCTTTGAACTCTACCTAGGTTGAAACTATATTTAACCTAAAGTTTACCTTCTGCTAGATGGCATCAAGGGGTAGAAGAGCTAGAAGCGGTGCCCAGTCGAATCCGCCTGACCAGAGCCAGATTTAGGCTCCACTAATGGCTCAGTTTCGCAGTTTGCAGCCTCTTGTGCTCACGGGGCAGGATGGGTCGTCTGCTGTAGACGGTTGGTTCCTCAAGCTTGAGCGCATTTTTTATGTGCTCGCATGTACTGAGCACCAGCGGATCATTTGCACAAAATTACGAATGAAGGCTGACGATGGTGTGTGGTGATCCGATTACTGAGGGCTTAGGCTAGTAGACGGGTGTAATGCTTTGACTTGACTCGTGGCTTGCCATATTTTTTCTCGGCGCACATCCACGGGTTTGGAATTTTGTCCCTGTACAGCCAGTATTTTAGTTTTGTGATTTCAGAGTTTTTTGTGTCCATTTTGCCCTTTTTCAGATCTGTCACTTTTCAGGGTTAGTGTTCGTGTACTCTAATGTGTCCCGACCTTCTTCAATATATGCATTTTGTCGTCACTCGTCTGTCGTGTGCCCTTACTCTCCTCATCGCAACAGCTTTATTCATATTTTATCTCGGCTCATCGCTGCATGTTTGATACGTCGTTGTTCCCATATAGTAGGTAAATCGTGAAGGCATACCTATTGGCGTATATTGTCAAATAATATCGCAACTTCATGCGATTTTTTTCAATATTACTCTTGATGGTCAGAATTACCTAGAGTGGGCTTTTCTGGTTGAAACCGTGTTGAAGGGTTATGGTTTGGCTTTTCACTTGACTAATGATGGACCAGAAAGAAAAGCTGATAATAGCAATTTGTTGACATCAGAATATCGCAGTTAATTGTGGAAAAGTTATGGTTGCCATATTCAACTGTATCAAGCAGTCCAATGATTATGAGCTTTTCTTGTTTTCGGACAACCAAAGGAATGTGGTCCTATATGAAACAGCTCTACGATCAAGATAGTAGTGAACTCTTTCACAGACTTATGCAACAAATTCACTTGATTGAACAAAACAACAAGTCCATCGATGAGTACAACTCGTCTTTTGATCATTTGAATGGACATTGATATCCATGGTACCTCAGTCCTCGGCGAAGTAGTGTTCAACACACAAATTTTTTTAGAAGTTCTTTATTTATTGCTTTATCATGGGAGTCGGAGCAGAATTTGAATTCGTTCATACACGGTTGTTTCATAACTCCTCTAATATGAATATGGCATAGGCAATATCTGATTTGATTGCTGAAGAAACTCATCTCCATTCTCTGTAAGTTGTTTTGCTGTCAATATCCCAGAGTGTTCTGGCAGCTTCTCAAAGGACATCTTCTCAACGGCTTAGTGCACCTAGAGGTGCCTCTCCAGAACCTTGTAAAGATTGCGGGAAACCAGTCATTGTGTCGATAATTGTTTTACTTAGAACAAAAATGTTGGTTAAGTATTGTGCACGTCGTGGTGCTTGGGCTCGTAGTACGACTTCTGCTACAAAAGGGTCTGTATCTGCACCTGTTTCCTCTCTTGTTCATGCTCCTCGGTCTTGGGTCCTCGATCCAGGAGCAACTTTTGATGTGACATCTGATCACTCTTAGTTGGTTGCCTACAATGCGGTCACTTATGGTGCTTCTATTCAGACACTTGATGGCACTTTTTATCATATCACACATTTGGATTCTCTGTAAAATTCACATTTTTCAATGTCTATTATGTCTTATGTTTCTAAGTTATCCATAAATCTTCTTTCAGTTGGTCAGGTCACTGATCAATTGTTTTGTTCGATTTGATGACTCATTGTTTTGTTCAAGATCATCGGAGCGGGACTGTGATTGGGACTGGCCATCACCGTAGAGATTCTCCAAGTCTTTATATCTTAGACACTTTGCATCTTTTCTCTTCCGCTGGTTCTACCTCACATGTGTCATCCGTTGCCACGTCTTCCACCTCATCTTTTGCCAAGTGGCATCATCGTCTTGGTCATTTGAATGGGTTCTTTGTCTACTTTGATTAGTACTTGTTGTTTAGGCCGTACATTTATCGAGTCTAGTTTTCACTGTATGGGTTGCAAGCTCATAAAAAGAGCTGCAACTCTCATAGACTACTAGTATTCTCATTCTGCTAGACCTTTCGATCTTATTCACTCTGATGCATGGGGTTCGTCCCTTTTCTACAATGGGTGAAAATATATATTATGTTCTTTTCTATTGGTGATCAATTTTGATATACTTGGATTTATTTTATAAAACATTATTCTCAATTGTGTTCCATTTATAAAGATTTTGCTTCCATGGTTCATAACCAGTTTTCTACTCCTATTCGAGTTTTTCATTCTGATTCTGGGGATGACTATTTATCAGACAATTTTCATCAATTTTTTGACCTCTAAGGGCACTCTTACCCAACTCTCATGACCCGGTGCACATGCTCAAACTGGTGTTGCAAAAATAAAGCACCGTCATCTCATTGAGACTACTAGAATTCTTTTCATTGTCTCATTTGCTTCTTCTCATTTTTGGGGAGAAGCTGTGTCCACAGCTGTTTATCTTATCAACCAACAACCGTCTTCCAAACTATTTGGTAAGTCTCTTGGTGAGTTTTGTTTTAGTATTCCCCCTAGCTATGATCAACCTCGGGTTTTCAAATGTACATGGTATGTATTGCTTGCTCGTTGTGAGCGCACTAAACTGCCTGCTCAGACTGTTGAGTGCGACTTTTTTGGGGTATAGTTCTAAGCATAAGGGTTATCATTATTATGATTCTTCCGCTCGTCGCATGTGTATATCTCGTTATGTAACCTTTGTCGAGGATCGTCATTTATCTTATAACCCCTCCACATACCCCTCATCTTCTTTTTGTTTTTCAGAGTTTACGTCATTCTTATTATCTTCCTCTTATTTCCTTTCTTGATGATGATATCCCTGTCACTCCTCCATCTTCCACTCATGATTTGTCTGAACCACCTATTGCTGATGAGACTCTACCACATAAACAACCCATCACACAAGTCTATACGCGTCGTTCCAAACGTCACACAATGCTTCCGCCTCATTCTGCTACAGTGGCTAGTCTTGATGCTCCCGTCCTTGATGATTCTATTGGTTATGATATGTCATATGCTATTCCTGGAGAGTATGAGGTTGGTCAGAGATATAATTTACGTGATCGTGCTACTATTTAGCCTCCTGATAGGCAGGAATTTCCACGTGCAAGTGATATTATTGATGAGCTCTCAACCTATCAGAAAGCTTCGAGTATTCCGGAGTGGTAGTTGGCTATGGCATAAGAGCTTGCTGCATTTGATCGTACTCACACTTGGGATCTTGTTCTGTTACCATCACATGCCGTACCTATCACGTGTAAGTGGGTCTTTATGAATAAAACCAAGTCGGATGGTTCCATTGAGGGGTATAAAGCTCTTCTTGTTTCTAGAGGCTTTCAGCAGACTTAAGGGTGACATTATGATGAGACTTTTTCTCTCATTGCTCACATGACTATTGTTCGTACATTGATTTCAATATGTGCTTCTCGTTCTTGGATCATATCTCAGATGGATGTGAAGAATTATTTCTTCCATGGTGATATGCATGAGAAAGTTTATATGCAACCACCACCTGGTGTTGAAGATCCATCCGGACATGTTTGTCATCTTCGTCGTGCATTATGTGGTCTCAAATAGGCTCCATGTGCTTGGTTTGAGCGTTTTGTCTCTGTCATATGGGCTGCTGGTTTTTCCCCTAGTGATCATGACCCTGCCTTGTTTATTCATCTCTCTACATGTGGGCTTACTATACTACTTCTATATGTTGATGATATGTTGATTACGAGAGATGATGCAGAACATATTTCCCATGTCAATAAGCAACTTGGTCAGCGATCTCAGATGTTCGATTTGGGTCTTCTTAGCTACTTTTTGGGCATTGAGGTGATGCATTCTGTCGCGGGCTACTACCTTTCTCAGTCCAAATACATACAAGACTTTCTTATTCATTCCAGTATTACTAACAATCTAACAACAGTTACACCTATAGATCTTCACTTGCATTTTCATCCCACTGATGGTATGCCTCTTGAGGATCCCTCTCGCTATCGAAATATTATAGGCAGTCTCATTTACTATATTGTTACTAACATTGCTCACGTTGTTCACATATTGGGTCAATTTGTGAGTGCTCCTACTTCGGTTCATTTTGGGCATTTGGTTCATGTGCTACGGTACTTAAGGGGAACATCATCTCAGTTTTTATTATATGCTCGTGATAGCCTGCTTTAGTTCCATGCTTACTCGAACTCTATTTGGGCGAGTAATCCAATATATCGTTGTTCTATCAATGGTTATTACAATTTTCTTTGTTCTACTTCTCTGACATGGATGTAGTGCCCCATTCGATTAAAAATAGACATCTCATTTTATTTTATTTGTGCATTGTATTGCGTTTAATTTACTAAGCTCAACTAAGTTCTTCGAGATTATTTAGACGTCCTCGTTTATTCAATCTTTAAGTTAAATAATTTAGGTAGATGTCCCAGTTTACTTAAATTATTCCAAGTTTCCGACATTTCGTTTGTCAAGCGAAATTCGTCCATTTTCGAATACTCGTGCAAGCTTTTCTCTAGGAGTTTATACTAAGCTTCAAACCCTTTTATTCTGGCCCCAATTTTCAGAGAACTTTTGGGCCCATACTAAGCTAAAAACCCGGCCCTTTGAGCCCATTTTAGCTGCCCCATGTCGTGCATTTTTTGCTCAACTTTTGGTTTGCAAAATTTCAAATTCCAAGAGATAATTTATGGTATGATTTTTTCACCATCAACACCTTCCCTCTTGGCCAGAAAATCAGCCCCAATCAACCCTTAAGTACCTGAACTGCTAAATGAAAGTGGGAGAACTTGAACCAAGAGCTGCTAGAAGAGGTTTTTGTCATGAACAAGGGTGTTATCGAGGCAAAAGGATCGGAAAGTGATGAACTTGGTAAGAAAGATGAGGTTTTGATGGTTGGGAATGAGCCTATCGCCGGCGAGGACAAAGAAAAGAAAGAGAAGGAGTTGCAGATGCAAAGATTAGGGCGGAATTTAAGAGTCAGGCTATTTGGATTTGTCCCATTTGGGCCTATTTTATTATGTTTATTTTTATATTTTGCTGGACCACTTTATGCATGAGCCCACCTAATGTTATTTTAGTTGTTAGGGTTTAGCCCAGTTAATTGTTATCAATTTGAGGTATATTCCTTTGGACCCACCAATTGTTATATTAGCAAGGAACACGTGAAATGAAGGCCACAATTTGGCATCAATCTCTGTTACATTCTCTCTCTATATTTCTCTCTATCCCTCTCATCTCCTTCTTCTCTCACTCTTCAATTAAAACTCCATTTTCTATCTCAACAAATTACTACAAAATTATAGTTACATCTTTATTGTAGCATTTGGTATACAGAGCAGCGATCTTGACGAGATGGCCGAGGTTACACGCTTCAAAGACCTGCAGGAAGCACAAAGAAAAATTGATCAAATCTTACAAATAGAGACATTAAAGAGGGAAGCGAGTGAAATAAAGTTGCAATTCAACTCTAACTTCTTAATCTCGACAGAGGCAAAGGGCAACAAAGTGAATCTATCTTTGGACCTTATGTTGAGTCTAGAACTGATGGTCAACCCAAAACACCATTCACACCCAGACAGAGAATTCAATTTGAACATCAACAAGCCAACCCACACATTATTAACCCATTACCCAAGATAGACTTTCCTCGTTTTGATGGAACCAGGCCTAGATCTTGGAGATTGAAGTGTAACAGTTATTTCAAAATAATCCCTAATATACCAGACCACCAAAAAATAACCCTAGCCTCAATGCATTTTGAGGGAAAAGCAGCTCAGTGGTTTCAGAACTTTAACAACAGAAATGAAGAGATTACTTGGGGTCAGTTTATTGAAATTGTTTCTGCTAGATTTGAAGAATTAAAGGAAGCAAAAATTATTGGGGAATTCAACAAGTTGAGGCACACAGGTTCTTACTTGGAGTATGTGGAAAAGTTTGAAGAATTGAGGGATTGTATGTTATGCATGAACCATGGATACACTAAAGAGTACTACATTGCTTCTTTTATTAGTGGATTATCTGAGGAGTTGCAGTCCTTCATTCACATGTTTGAACCTTAGACACTACAGCAAACCATTGAATTGGGCAAGAAACAGCTCATCACCCTTGAAGCTATCACCAAAAAACTCAAAACCACAATCAAAGTTTTCCCAAACACATATCAAAATCCCAAGAAAAATGACTCCTACAACTATGACCCTAACAAACCCAGTGGTACCTCAAAAGAATCCTGTGAAATTGCTCACAACCTCTGAAATGGCAGCTAGAAGCGAAAGGGGCTTATGCTATAATTGTGATGAGCAATTCACATATGGGCACAGATGCAAACATAGATAAATTACTTGATGATGACAGAGGAAGAAGAGGTTAATTACCTCAAGACTACTGCTCATACTTTCACTGAGGGGGAGGACATTGAAACCTTAGAAAAAGTACAGATGTCACTGAACTCTATAGTTGGGGAGTATGGACTCACTACTATGAGAGTCTTTGGTCACTCTAAGGGGCATAAATTACACATACTTATTGATTCTGGCAGCACACTCAGCTTTATCCAAGCCAGCACTGCTTAGTCCTTAGGTTTAAACCTTGTACCAGTCAAACCCTTGATGGTCAAGGTAGACAATGAGCAAAGGATGATCAGTTCAAACATTGCTGAGGGTTTTCAATGGAGCATGCAAGGACACATATTTACATATTCTTTAAGGGTGCTGGACAATGAAGGGTGTGATATGATCCTTGGTGGAGATTGGTTGAAAAGTTGTACTTCAATTGGGTTGGATTATGACAAGATGAGCTTTACAGTCACCTTGAAAGGGAGAAGAGTGAAAATCCAAGCACTAAAATCAGAGGCTACTTGTAAATTTATATCTGGTCCATCACTTTATAAACTGATGCATGAAGAAGAGAATTCTACAGTAGATGAAGTTTATTGGTTGGCCATCACTAAACCAAACCAAACTGAAGTGAATTCTGAATTGGAGTGTGTTCTCAAGAGGTATGAGGATGTCTTTCAGAAGTCCACAGGGTTACCACCTATTAGTGAAATTGAGCATCATATTTCCCTTAAGCCTGGGAGCATACCCAAACACCAATTCCCATACAGGACCTCACATAATCAGAAGGGTGAGATTGATAAAATAGTCAAAGAAATGTTGGAGGCTGGCATCATTCAAGATAGCAGAAGCCCATTTTCCTCACCTGTGATCTTAGTTAAGAAGAACGATGCAACATGGAGGTTGTGCGTGGATTATAGGTATCTTAATGGTATGACAGTGAAGCATGATTACCTAATACCAGTAATTGATGAATTATTGGATGAGTTACAAGGGGCAAGATATTTTTCCAAGATTGATTTGAGGTCCGGGTATTTTCAAATTTTAATGGCCAAAGAACATAGGTACCTCACAGCTTTCAGGTCACACAATGGTCACTATGAATTTTTAGTCATGCCATTTGGACTATGGAATGCTCCTGCTACTTTTCAGTCCCTAATGAATAAGATTTTCAGAAGTTTGCTGCGAAAGACAGTTTTGGTCTTTTTTGATGACATACTCATATACAGCAAATGTTGGGATGAGCATTTACAGCACTTGGAACAGGTATTAACCATCCTCAAGAGACATCAACTCTATGCTAAAAGGAGCAAATGTCATTTTGGACAGGACCAGATTGAGTACCTGGGCCATACCATCTCACAGCAAGGGGTGGCTACTGACCCCACAAAGATTGAAGGAATGGTGAAGTGGCCCACTCCTACTAATATTAAATAGTTAAGGGGTTTTTTGGGTCTAACAGGATATTATAGGAAGTTTATAAAAGGTTATTGAATGATCAGTAGGGCTCTTACTAACCTATTGAAGAAAGATCAGTTTAAATGGGGGCAGGAGGCAGATGATGCTTTTCAAAGGTTAAAGGAGGCAATGGTGAAGGCCCGTGTATTGGCACTACCAGACTGTACCAAACCCTTTGTGTTGGAAACTGATGCAAGTGGAAATGGGGTGGGGGCAGTACTTATGCAACAAGGAAAACCTATTGCCTACATGAGCAAAATGTTGTGTCTAGAAACCAAGCCTTATCGGTTTATGAAAGGGAGTTTCTTGTTGTTCTTATGGCTGTTCAAAGGTGGAGATATTATTTACAAGGACACAAGTTTTTCATCAAAACTGAACTACAAGCTTTGAAACACTTGTTGGATCAGAGGGTTGTCACACCCATCCAACAGTAATGGATTACTAAGTTACTTGGCCTGGATTATGAAACTCTGTATAAAAAAGGGGCTGAAAATAAAGCAGCTGATGCGTTATCCAGAAGGGGTGAGGTTGAGAACACTTGTTTGGCAATCACAAGTGTAGTTCCTCTCTGGGTTAAGGAGGTGCAGGACAGCTACAAGGATGACCCTTTCTTTGCAAATCTTTTAGCAGCTAATGCTATTCAAACAGATTCATACCCTAAATTTGTTGCACAGAATGGCATCATCAGATATAATGAAAGGACTTGTGTGGGTAACAAGAAGGAACTTAGGAGTTCCATCCTAATTGCGATGCATGATTCAGCTTATGGGGGTCATTCAGAAATCTATGGCACCTATATGAGATTGAAGGGTGTTTTTTATTAGCCCAACCTGAAAGCAGATATGACAAAATGGGTACAAGAGTGTGACACTTGTAAAATGACAAAAACAAATCTAGGTGCTGACCCAGAGCCCCTACAACCACTACCAATCCCTAATCAGGACTGGACACACATTGCTATGGATTTATTGAGGGATTGCCAAAATCAGGGGGAAGGGATGTCATTATGGTGATCATTGATAGGTTTACCAAATATGCACATTTTATTCCTCTTTCACACCTTTTTACTGCTCCTATAAACGTTAAGCTTTTCCTAGACACTATATACAAGTTGCATGGTTTGCCAGTGAGCATAGTTTCATACAGGGACAAAATATTTACAAGTGCATTTTGGAAAGAGTTTTTTAAAATGTTAGGGGTGACACTGAACCTCTCATCTGCCTACCATCCTCAGGCTGATGGGCAAACTGAACGGCTCAATCAATGTTTGGAGAACTACCTAAGGGGAATGGTTCATTCTACTCCAAGACAGTGGGTCAAATGGTTCTCATTGGCTGAGTATTAGTACAACACCATATCACTCTAGCCTCAAAACTACTCCTTTTCAAGCACTGTATGGCTACCCCCTCCTAACTTCTGCATGAGTTCCTATTTCGAGACCGACCATGCAGATGTAAAAGAAATCATGCAGCAAAGGCAAGAAATGACACAACAACTCAGGGAACATTTAAACCAAGCACAAGCAAGAATGAAATTTTTTGCAGATAAGAAGAGAGAAGACAGACAATTCGCAGTTGGGGAGCAGGTGTTTCTCAAACTTCAGCCTAATAAACAAAATTCAGCCTCTTTGAGGAAAAACATCAAACTTGCTGCCAAATACTACGGGCCTTACACCATTCTGGAAAGGGTAGGAGAAGTTGCTTACCGTTTGGCACTACCAGACGGATCACGCATTCACCCAATCTTCCATGTGTCCCTCTTGAAACGCCGCATCAAGGAGACTGTTGTGCCGTCGTTATAGCTGCCTGCAACCACAGACGAGGGTGACATAAAAATCGCATCTTTGGCTGTCACGAGTAAAAGAGAAATCACGAAGAATGGAAAGGGGCTAACTCAGTTGTTAGTCATATGGGATTATCCGAACTCGGATCTCTCCTCCTGGGGGGACAAATCGTACATCCGGCGACATTTTCAAACATTTGATCCTTGCGGTCAAGGATCTACAAATGGGGAGGGTATTGTCATGAACAAGGGTGCTATCGAGGCAAAAGAATCGAAAAGTGATGAAAATAAAAACACTACAGCCTGAGAGGAAAGGTAGATGGTGCATAGAAAAGGCAAAGAAAATTCTCAGTAGCCAAGGCCTATGCACAGTTGATGTTACAGAAAACTCTGGAGATAAAAAGAGCAGAAGGCAGCAACTCTGCCAAGAAAGACAGAGAAACAAGAGAAAGGTGTTGGAAGCTGAAGATAAAGGGAAAAATTAAGCACCTTATTTGGAAATGTTTCTCTACCTCTCTGCCTGCAGGTGTAAATCTTCTGAAGGGAGCCCTACCAGTGGATCAAATGTGTAATTGCTTTGGGGAAGCTCCTGAAACAGTAGAGAATCTTTTTTCTAATGTCCAAGGTCGAAGATGATTTAGAAGCTAGCACCATTAGACTAGGGAGATTCTATGACTGAAACTTACACTTTCAGGAATTGGTGGTGGTGGATTGCTTCTATAGACATAAGGGAGATTGCAGAGCACAGAATTCAATTATCCACATATATAACTATGGTGGATTTGGAAAACCAGAAACTTATGGCTTTTTCTAAAAGTCTGGAGAGCTGAGGCTGAAGTGATCAGATTGGCCATGGCAGATTGGGCTGAATTCTGTGGCTATAACTCTTCTACAGGTGGGTGTTGAGATAGACATAAGTGGCGCTTAGGTCTTTTGGTCAGTTGGCTGCATTTATATTTGCACTTGGTACTGTAATATTGCTTTGGTTTTCTAGGTTTTTGTTTCTTGCTTGTATTAGAAGGTAGAGGGTTCAAATGGATGTGTTTGCCTTTATCTTCTAGGATGGTGTTGTAGTCTAGTTTTATTTCTTGTATTCTAGGCCACATGATGTTGTGGTGCTCCTCAGCTGTTTGATTAAGAGCTAGTTAGCACTTCGGTTGTATATCTCGGACCTTAATATTGTTTGAATGAGTAATGCCTATCGTTCCCCCAAAATAAATAAATAAATAAATAAATAAATAAATTAAGTGCCTCACTGTATCTCCCTAATAAGGTAAGTCTTGGATCCCTTGCACTCTTCCTTTTTCCTCCTCTCCAAGTTATGCATTAGATCTATTTTTCCTTCCTTTTTTTGGCCTTTCCCAGCAGCAACAAAAGATCATTAATTCTCTCCAACATTTAGTCCACTCTTCTTCCCAAAAATCGGCCTCCGGCCATCCCTTCTCACTAGCAATCCCGATCCCACTGTGAGCGTCCCATGCAGCCAAGGGCAGACACAAAGAGGGGCCAGCAAGGGCACATGCCCTTGTGAGGTGAGAAATTTTAATATATATATATATATATATGTATATATATTTTTTAATTATGTTAGTTTTTCTTGTGGGCCCTCCACTGCACCTTTAAAAGCTAAATTTTGTTCCCTCACTAAGCAAAATGCCGTGACATGCATTTATGTATATTTTAATTATGTTAATTTTTTTTGTGGTCCCCCACTACAACTCTACAACTACAACCAAGTTTTTTTCTCCCACTCCCAGCAAAAAAGTCGTCCCTAAGTCCCTTGTTATACTTTTATCTTCTTCTTTTACTCTCTCCTAGAACTAGAAAATTTGGGGGCGATTATAGAAAAAAAAAATGAAAAAATCTTTCAATAATTGAAGTGGTTTGAATTATATTGTGCATAGACAAATAGATTATAAATTAAGAATGAGGATCGATTCTCTCGTTGAGAGCTTCTTAGTTTGTGATCTCTTCCAAAATTCCCAGTTTTTCTTTAATCTCCTATTGAGATTGAGTGAACTCTGATTGATCCAGTAGAATAGTATTCTATCGGTGTGGATTTTCCCTGATTAGGGTTTCCTAATGGCGGGGCAGACCAGGTGTAGCCTAAACGATGACATCTCCGCACGATTAGGGGATTTTTGCTATCTGAAAGGGAAGTAAACGTTATTGATATAGCTCAAAATGACATTCGACTAAGCGATGATGAATGCCAAAGGAGTTTATTTGGAAAAATAATCGGAGGCAGGATAGCCGGTTGGTTCGGTGTAAAAAGAGCGATGACACAAATTTGGAGACTCAATAAGCCAATGCAGGTAAATAACTCAGTCCCAACTACTTTCAGTTTATTTTTCAAAGTAAGGAGGACAAAGACAGAGTGGCTAGCGGATCAAACTGGAGTTTTGAGAACCAATATATAATTCTGAGGGAGTGGACTACAAATCTCAATAGCAATCATCCTTGTTTCCAGGAAATCAACCTTTGGACCCAAGTCACAAATCTACCTCTGAACTGGCTTAGTGCAGAAGTGGGGCTGAAGATCAGCCGGACTTTCAAAGATGTGAGTAATGTGGTTATAGTTAACACCGGCAGTCATGGAGGCAAATTACTTCGTCTCCTTGTTACTCTTAATCTGGATGAACCTATTCCTAGAATAGCCCATATCAGGTTGGGGGACCAGATTGTCAGTGTTGGTTTTAAATACGAGAAGCTAATGAATCTCTGCCATTATTGCAGAAAGATTGGTCACTTAGACCGCACTTGTCAAAGAAGAAGGCAAGATATCAAAAATAAAACCCTCAAGGATGGCCAATATGGTGAGTGGTTAAAGGCAACAGAAGGTCTGAGATGGACAGGGCATAACTTGTAACGCCCCAAAACAGTAATGATATTCAGAACGGTTTCACTGCTCGACTATAAGTGAAATCCGTAATTTTCAAAAATTATCGAGTTATATTATTTATGCTAAATGCTCAAACATGATAACTTATTCTTTGAATAATTCTATCTCAAGTATAAGTTAAGATTAATCCATTTGTTGTTGTCTAGAATTAACAACTGAAAATTAAATACAGTTGATGTAAAGAAAATCAAGATTATTGCTCAATTTGATTTTGTTATAGTCACAATAGTACAGGAGTCGGTTTTGTATTGTAAACCGAGATCATTATAAGTCATGTACATTGTGTTGAAAAAAGAAAAAAGTCCTCGTACTATTATAAATTCCGCTATTTATAGTACGGTAATTTTTGTCTTCTTGCTCGAAGTGGATAAAGATACATTTAATGTTGAGCTGCTTCACTTTAAGCGGTGGGAAACATCAATGATTGCTTCTCCTTTGTGTTGGTCCAATCAGATGCTTCCAGCTTTGTTTTCTGTTTTAATATTTGGACTTTGCAATAGTCGGTTTATATACATTCGTTTCAGATGTCGGTTCTTTGAAGATCTTCAGAAGTCGGTAATTCATCGGAAGTCGGTAATTAATTCTAATTAATACCAACCTGCCTTAAGAGAGTATTTTTTTTCAATAAAACAATTAATCTTCGTCTTCAATCTTGTGATCAAGTCGGATATCAACAGTGAGGCCCCCGACATTAGTAAGTATTTGGAGCTTTGTTGAATAGCTGCTGATGTCGTTTGTTGTTCTGCTTCATTCCGACTTGTTTTGCTTTGTTTACCGACATGAGAACACTTTGCTGTATTTGTAATTTCTTGTATAACACTTGGTCTGACATGGCGGCTCTCAAAAGATGTGTCCGCATTTAATGGGCCCAACGGATATAAATTTGTAACGACATGGCGTTTCTAGACACGTCCACGTGTATTAATAATTACTGTAACGTTACACCGTTTTGAGACACGTCCGTTATACGCGCCGTTTCCGGATATCTCCAACGGTTAGAAATCAAAACCTATAAATTATCGTCGATTTCGAAGTGCGAAAAGTTTTTGTACCTTAAATCTTCTTTGCTTTTTCTTGTGCTCTTTCCGTAATCTTTCCTTTGAATCTTTTTTTCGTGCACTTTGTCGGTATTTTCTTCAATTCAGGGCTTTCAGAAACTTCGGTAAGAATTTGCCCTAATTTCTTCGATTTCTTTGTCAATTTCGAGTTTTCTTTCATTTTTATCAATTGCGAAAAAGATGTCTGCTCAAGCTGACGATAGTAGTAGCCGAACGATTTCTGATATCCCGATTTTTACCGATGAGGATTTGGAATTGCCTCTCGAGTATTATCGATGGGATCCCTTGTTGGTTAAACGGCTAAACCTGAATAGAGATATCGTCGAGAAGGATAAACAGGTCGAAGAAGATGCCATGTCGCTTCCCGATTATTGGAGACGTCCAGCTCGGCGGTGGCCCGAACCAATCGATGAGTATAGAGGAGAACCAAGCATTTTGACCGATGCTGACATAGTTATCCTCCGAGAAGAAGTTTATATTCCCTCGTCGGTAAAGTTATTCGCTCCTTATCCAGGGGAAAGGATTACTTGTCCTCCGCCGGGCTGTGTAGGTGTATTTGCCGATTCTTTAAGATCGGGGCTTCGATTTCCTCTTCCTGCTTTAATCACAGACTATTTGAGAAATTGGGGGATTGGGCTGTGTCAAATAGCACCGAATTCATGGAAGAGAATTATTGGCCTCATGGTGTGGTTGAAAGAAAAGGGTTGGGACATGCCAACTGTGGATGAGATAAGAAGCCTATATTCATTTAGGCGATGCACAGACAGACAAGTTGTCGATCCTTTGATATGTTATGCTTGTGCGGGAAGGCCCCAGGATGGATTAAAAATTGGTGAACTGATTTCGGACATTCCTGAGTCACTCCATGGATTCCAAGAGGAGTGGTTGTGGATTGGAGGAGACTGGCAGACTCCAAATTTTTCAAAACCTTTAATCGATGGGATGTCAATTCCCATCAATATTAATTCTGCAATTTGTAAGTTTTTAGTTCGACTTCTTTTTACCGAGTTGTTCTGACTGCTATTTTTTGTACTAACAGGTCGACACTTTGTTATTTGCAGCCAAGAACAAGGGATCAAAACTCGGTTCAACTCTGAAAGGAAGGATTACCGAGTTATTTAAGCTAAAAAAGGCTCAACGTAGCTTCAAGTTGATTCTGAAGAATACGAGATTGAAAGCTGCTGGTCTCTGTCCTGAAATTTCTGACAGTTCATTTCAACCTGGTAAGCTGGAGTAAATTTTTTGATCTTATATGAAGTCGGTTGCTTTTAAAAGCCATAGTAACTCGGTTTTGTATTTTCAGTTTACTATCCACTTATTGGAGTCCTCGGTTTCAAGACCACCCGTGACGCTAAAGCTTTCCGCCAAAAAAGTCCGAATTTGGACCTTCGAACCAAAGTCGGAAAAAGTAAGGAGTTACGCTTATCCGGAATGGGTCGTAAGAAATTGGTGAAAGCATATCTGGAGAACCCAATCATGAATCCTCCTAAAACCGATGTCGGTGATGGCGCGACGTCGGCGGTTG